GTGTGCTCCAGGCAACACCATCTTGAGGGAGGATTATCCTTGTCCCAGACCAGATCCATATCCATAAAGGAAACCTCTACTGATTCATACAATGCAAACTGCAACAGATAAATGGTGCGGAATCACAATACAATACAATAGTGTGCTCCAAATAGTGTGGTAAAATTACGCACTCACCAGATGCGTAATATAAATATATTACGCATCTGGTGAGTGCATAATTTTACCACACTATTTGGAGCACCACTATTGGATTGTATTGTGATTCTGCACCATTTATCTGCACAGACTGTCACCTTCATTTTACATATCCTGGGCATTTTATTTAATTTGATTGAAATTATCTATTGTTGGACAATCATAATACTTTCTATTATTTTAGCGCTGCACTTATTTATTATATATAAAATTGAGGGTTGTTTAGAAGCAATAAAAAACCCATATGTAAGCAGTGTTTTTAACGCTCAGTGTGTTTGAGGCCTTAGGAGGAGGTGTTCTGTAGCTCACAAAGTGAGCTGGATAAAAACTGCAATCACACAGAGAGAGCTGGAAATAATGTAACTGATAAGATGGCAGCACATGCAGAGAGCACAGGAAGTTATCAGCTCATGGGATTTCTGGCAGGATCAACAGGTATTGCAGCAACAGGTTAAACGCTTTCATTGGCGTATTTAAACCAATACTTTCCGTGTGTCGACAGGAAGTGAAGGGAAGTCAGACGGCTACAAATAAACTAACATGGGGTGCTATCCCTTCTCTTCTCTATACAAAGCTAAAAATACGAAGGTTGGCCATACACAGGATATCTTCTGATTCAACTCCTGCAAAGGGCGATGGGTGACCAACGCTGACCGTTAACCTTTTTGCGTTGGAGGAGACACATGGCGGGATGGCGGGTTTGTCTATCTGTTATTGATTGGAGATTGCTGGGTGTGTGGGCTCAGTGTACACACGCACAGCGGAGGATCCCCACCTGCTGATAGGTCAAGCTGGAATCAATCAATCAGCACCGGCTAAGAGGAGACAGGCAGCTCCATCTGGTCATTTATAAAATGAGAAACCATTGTCTGCAACCTCCCAAAACATGACGTACTAAGGCTTTATGCACACAGGACTTAAAATGCTTTTTAAACGTTTTTAAACGTTTGCCGGTTTTTTTTCTTTGCCTGTAAACGTACCTGTATGTTAGCCTATGTGTCCATGAACGTTCAGGAGAGGAGCATTTGGCAGAAAAAAAAAAACATGGAACGCACATAATCAAGCATTAACACATTTAAACGCAGAGCGCATTTATCCATTTTTGCGCATATGCAAATCAATGCATTCTAATAGACAGAAAAAGTAAAAGCGTTCCTAAACCCCAGACCCTGCATTCACTATATCCGCTCTCCCCGGACCCTGCATTCACTATATCTGGTCTCCCCAGTCCCAGCATTCACTATATCCGCCTCCCCGGACCCTGCATTCACTATATCTGGTCTCCCGGACCCTGCATTCACTATATCTGGTCTCCCCGGACCCTGCATTCACTATATCTGGTCTCCCCGGACCCTGCATTCACTATATCCGCTCTCCCCCGCTCTCCCCGGACCCTGCATTCACTATATCTGGTCTCCCCGGACCCTGCATTCACTATATCCGGTCTCCCCAGACCCTGCATTCACTATATATGGTCTCTCAGGACCCTACATTCACTATATCTGGTCTCACCGGACCCTGCATTCCCTATATCTGGTCTCTCAGGACCCTGCATTCACTATATCTGCTCTCCCCGGACTCTGCATTCACTATATCTGGTCTCCCCGGACCCTGCATTCACTATATCCGGTCTCCCCAGACCCTGCATTCACTATATCTGGTCTCTCAGGACCCTACATTCACTATATCTGGTCTCCCCGGACCCTGCATTCCCTATATCTGGTCTCTCAGGACCCTGCATTCACTATATCTGCTCTCCCCGGACCCTACATTCACTATATCTGGTCTCCCCGGACCCTGCATTCACTATATCTGGTCTCTCAGGACCCTACATTCACTATATCTGGTCTCCCCGGACCCTGCATTCCCTATATCTGGTCTCCCAGGACCCTGCATTCACTATATCTGGTCTCCCCGAACCCTGCATTCACTATATCTGCTCTCCCCGGACTCTGCATTCACTATATCTGGTCTCCCCGGACCCTGCGTTCACTATATCCGGTCTCCCCAGACCCTGCATTCACTATATCCGGTCTCCCACAGTACACATAACATGGAAATGCAATTATTTTAGTAAATATAAACTGCTAAATACCTTTTCTCATCAGCAGTTAGAGCAGTCTTGTGATTTCTGCCACTATCCAGCAGAGCACTGGCTTAAGCTTGTAGGATAAGTTTTCATTCTCCTCTGACTGTCCTATGAGGCTGTATGACCCTGACCCTGATTGGCCCTGTGCTGATCACATGCACCCTCCCCCCTAAAAAAAAAAAACCCTCTCTACCAATACACACTAGACTGAGCATGTGCAGAGTGACTCCTAGGGCTCTGTACTATTAGCAGATGGATTGGGGACAGTAGTAGAAGGGGAGGATCAGACAAGACAAGATCAAACAACCTTTTTACACAATGCGGAGGAGTAACCCATTAGGTTCCACAGTGAGTATAACAAGCATGCTTTACTGCATATACAGACTGATTTTACTGTTGTGGGTTTAGTAACACTTTAATAACCTAGCCAATAGAATGCAATGGCATACATATGCGCATAAACAAGTTTGCAGTGTGCGGCTTTTACTGTGTTTGTAAGCAGCTTTCCTCTTGCCAGGAGGAAAGGCATTCATAGGAGCTGAGCAAACACTCAAGATTTCTTTTAAGGGCCAGTCCAGCCAAAACTGATCGGTCGTTTGTTGGTGGAGGCTGGAATGGTTTATTACATCTTTTGGGTAGGAAGAACTCTCCTAGGCCTGCCGGGGCCATGGTGTGGGGTTCCCTCTCCACCACAGAACAGCTTTTTTTTTTATTATTTATTACAGGTATTTATACAGTACTGGCAATGTATACAGCCCTTTACATACTGTACATTCACATCAGTCCCTGACCTCAAGAGCTTACAATCTAATCTCACATGCATACTAGGGCCAATTAGGACAGAAACCAATCAATTCCAGCAGACCTTCACCCAATTAAAAAAGTCCCCTCCCGGGATAGAACGTTGTCACCTTATAACAGGAAGTGCCTGAACAAAGACCTTCATGGCGGGATCACCAGGGACTACTTCATTGAAGGCTGCAGACTGAATGACATGAGAGTTCAGTGATCGGTTTTATATCAATTTAAAAATATAAAACTTTCTACAAAGTAACTTTGTATCCAATGGCTTCCCTGAACGGTCGCACTTTCTGAATGAACGCTCGCACTTTCTGAATGAACGCTCGCACTTTCTGAATGAACGGTAATGGCGGTACAGGACCAAGTCGCGGTGAGCGGTTCCGGGAGGAGAAGGAGAGCTTCCCATGCCATACGTACGCCGCGTCACAAAGCCCTTTGTTTCGATGGTGCCAAAATGCTCCACTTGCGGTTTCTCGGTGTATTTCAGCCATCTTCATTATACGGAACACTTCCTCATTAGCAGCAAAGCGGGAAGTGGTCGGGGAATTGGGTAACTTTCTGTTAACCCCTTAAAGGATGGGAAAAGAGCCCATTGGCCGTTCCCTGCAAGAACACCTGGTGGCACAAGACTTTTATACACTTGTCTATAGCGGCCTTCAATGGGGGATGGGATTAAAGTGCTACTAAACCTACAACAGTAAAATCAGTCTGTATATGCAGCAAAGCATGCTGGTTATACTCACTGTGGAACCTAAGGGGTTAATCCTCCGCAATGTGTAAAAAAGGCTGTTTGATCCTGTCTTCTCTGATCCTCCCCTTCTTCCAGTGTCCCCTTTTATCTCCTGATAAGAAGTATCGTGTGGAGTCGCTCTGCACATGCTCAGTTTAGTGTGTATTGCTAGAGAGGTCTTGGGAGTGTGCATGAGATCAGCACAGGGCCAATTAGCACGGTACAGACAGAGGTCTGGGGTTCTGCATCCTCCTAGAGCAGAAAGACTCCTCCTACAAGCTTTAACCAGTGCTCTGCTGGACACTGATAGAAGTCACAAGACTGCTCTAACTGCTGATGAGAAAAGGTGTTTAGCAGTTTATATTTGCTAAAACAATTGCACTTCTATGTTCTGTGTACTGTGGGAGACCAGATATAGTGAATGCAGGGTCCGGGGAGACCAGATATAGTGAATGCAGGGTCTGGGGAGACCAGATATAGTGAATGCAGGGTCTGGGAGATCAGATCAGATATAGTGAATGCAGGGTCCGGGGAGACCAGATAGAGTGAATGCAGGGTCTGGGGAGACCAGATAGAGTGAATGCAGGGTCCGGGGAGACCAGATAGAGTGAATGCAGGGTCCGGGGAGACCAGATAGAGTGAAATGCAGGGTCCGGGGAAGACCAGATAGAGTGAATGCAGGGTCCGGGGAGACCAGATAGAGTGAATGCAGGGTCCGGGGAGACCAGATAGAGTGAATGCAGGGTCCGGGGAGACCAGATAGAGTGAATGCAGGGTCCGGGGAGACCAGATATGGTGAATGCTGAGACCAGATATGCAGGGTCCGGGGAGACCAGATATAGTGAAATTGCGGGGAGACCAGATATAGTGAATGCAGGGTCCGGGAGACCGATATGGTGAATGCAGGATCCAGATATAGTGAATGCGGGTCCGGGGAGACCGGATATAGTGAATGCAGGGTCCGGGGAGACCAGATATAGTGAATGCAGGGTCCAGGGAGACCGGATATAGTGAATGCAGGGTCTGGGGAGAGCAGATATAGTGAATGCAGGGTCTGGGGAGACCAGATATAGTGAATGCAGGGTCTGGGGAGACCAGATATAGTGAATGCAGGGTCTGGGGAGACCAGATATAGTGAATGCAGGGTCCGGGGAGACCAGATATAGTGAATGCAAGGTCCGGGGAGACCAGATATAGTGAATGCAGGGTCCAGGGAGACCGGATATAGTGAATGCAGGGTCCTGGGAGACCAGATATAGTGAATGCAGGGTCTGGGGAGAGCGGATATAGTGAATGCAGGGTCCGGGGAGAGCGGATATAGTGAATGCAGGGTCCGGGGAGAGCGGATATAGTGAATGCAGGGTCCTGGGTTTAGTAACACTTTATTCCTGGTTTGTGGATTTAGAATGGGAGCTCCAGACAGACTAGGGTGACAATACTACTCCTCTATAGATACAGTAAGTAAATGAGCGTTGTCACCCGATGACAGGAAGTATGTTACTTGCAGGATCAACAGGTGCAAATAAAGTAGAAAAAAAAGAAAACTATTCCGGCCACCATATTTAAGGTGGGGTGGGCAACCTGCAGCCCTCAAAGTGGTGCAGAACTACAAGTCCCATCATGTCTCTTCCTCTGGGAGTCATGATTTTAAATGGTAGTCTTGCAATGCCTCATGGGAAATTTAGTTCCACAAGCTGGAGGGCCGCACCTTGCCCACGATACGACATTTTTTATTTTTGGGTATATAATCACTTTAGAGCTTATATTTTGTCTTAGCTGGTTCCCCCTCTCTCCCCTCATCAACATGCTAATGACATTTCGTTTTCATCAGATACCTTATATTGGACGTAGCGATGTCATCACCAGGTCTCTGTGCTTCTCTATGCAATGGTGGCAGATCATGGCTGGCTCCTCCCTTCCCCCTCCATCAACATGCTATTTACATTTTTTCTGCCTGCATACTATGTATGCATATCAGATTTAACATGCACATGCCACACATATGCGTGGCTGGGCAGCCAATGTTTCTGTGCTGAGAGAGCTCTCACTGCATGCTCCCAGCACAGAAATCGAGCTGTCAAAGACAGCTCTCGGTCACCACTAATGATTGGTAGCTGGCTCCTAATCAGCCAATCACAGCAGTCACATGATCACCAATCCTTCCCGCCCCCCCTGGGCGTTCAGAACCTATTGGAAGCCAGGGCAGGCAGGAAGGGGTTAGAAAAATCTCTCATTATATACCTTATTTTACATGCAATGAGGTGATCACTGGGTCTCTGTACTTCCCTAGGCAATGCAGGCAGATCTTGACTAGTGGCAAGGGCTGCACATAGCATCCTGGAAACATCACCCCTGAATCAGCACTCCTCTTAGTGGGCTGGCTCTTGGGAGGAGTAAATGTTAAAATGCCTTAATGTCAGTCTGGAGGAGTGGGCATTCTTAACCCCTTCAAGCCGACGCCTCCTGGCTGGGAGGCGGGGCGGGGTTTAGGGTCATGTCTCCACCGTGACATGCCCCCGTCACTGCGGTCACATGATCGGGAAAGGTCCCGATCAAAAGAGGAGATCGGGACCTTTCCGTGAGTACCGGACATGTGTGCTGGGAGCGTGCAGGGCGCGCGTCTCGGCACATATGTCCTTTTTTAATAGACACCGCTAGGCCCAGATGCCAGGAGGCCGGCGTGAAGAGGTTAAGCAGTCCTCATTTGCATGCAGACCGCCCTAGGTAACGCCCACACGATGCTGAGCCATCGTAATTGAAAGAACTGAAATCCAATGAACGGAAGGGGCGGGCCAGGGACAGTCAGGCGGGGGAGGCCAGAGCTAGAGGATGCTGGACGTCCTCCACCCGGGAAATGAGGTGAGCTCTATCAGACTTAGTGCAGCTTCTAATGCACACTGTGAGAAGCTCACAGTGTGCAGTGAAATCAGAGAAAGCAATTTCAGTAACAGGAGAGGAACCGGTACAACTGCGCAAGACTGAAGGGAAGTCCGGAGGTCATATTTATGGTATAATAAGAATCTGTTACATAGAATCCGGAGTGCAGCAGATAGAAAGTTTCCAGTGACTGTCCCTTTAAATAAATACATTTTGGTTTTGGTGCCTCCTCGCAGCGGTGCAGGAAGAGCCGCGGCGGTGATCCTCCCTGTGGTTGAGCCTCTCTAGAAGTGAAATGAAATTCAGATTCACCTCCCACAACCCGAGACAATTATGTCACCACAAAGCCAGCAGATTGTTTCAATTCTACACCCAGAGTCTATAATAAGACGCCTCTCATAAACTCTTAACACGCAGAAAGGAAAACAAACAGACAAATAACCCCGAGAAACGCAACGCGCGGCAAGACGCCATCTGCAAAGACAAACACAGCCATCTCTGTGCAAGAAGAGTAAACACATTTCGGGAAAGTCAGCTCCAGGCAAAACTTTTTTCTTTTTCGTTTTTTGGATGGAGCGTGGAAAGGTTTGCGTATGAACACGCGTGTCTAGGCCACATGCATCCCCTTTCACAAGGTCAAACGTCACTTGCAATTATGGAAAATGTGTCTTGCAACTATGGCAAAGGCACAGGTTTTGTTTTGTGCAGCCATGGCAAAAGCATACCTTGTCCTGTAACAAAGTCAAAGGGAAACCTTGTCTTGCAACTATGGTACAGGTATACCTTGTCTAGACGGCGTTAGAACTTCCATCAGACTTTCATTGCTGTCTGTATCCAAATGTGGCAATCTCCCATCCTTCGTATGTATTAGGCCAGCCTTTTGTCAACCTTTTCAACACAGAGGAACCCTTGAAGTAGCTTCCAGTCTCAGGGAACCCATAACAATGCCGATATCTACAACTCATGATACATCAATGTGGTGGTCGGTGGGAAGAAGGCTCCTTACACTTGTGGTCATTGGGAATTACCTCCTTATAGATCGCTAAAAAGATCAATGGTGTCAGTGGGAACTTATCTGAGAGGCAGAAATTGCTCATTGCTCAAGGAACCCCTAACAGCCTCTGGGAACCCTAGGGTTCTACAGAACCCTGGTTGAGAAACACTGTAGTCAGCTATCATTAGATTAGGATGATTAAACAGAACCTGTGCCCCCTTATATCAGATGCCCCTATTAGAGTTCCCCTTTACATCAGGAGTCCTCATCACAGTCCCCTTTACATCAGGTTCCCATAAGAGTGCCTCCTTACATCAGTGATCCCATCAGCATCCCCCCTTACTTCAATTGTCATCTACAGAGTGCCCTCTTACATATGATCAGTTATCCCTATCAAACTGCCCCCTTACATTAACTATCCTCAACAGAGTGCCCCCTTACATTAACTGTCCTCAACAGAGTGCCCCCTTACATTAACTGTCCTCAACAGAGTGCCCCCTTACATTAACTGTCCTCAACAGAGTGCCCCCTTACATATGATCAGTTATCCCCATCAGAGTGCCCCCTTACATTAACTGTCTTTAACAGAGTGCCCCCTTCCATCAATTGTCCTCAACAGAGTGCCCCCTTCCATCAATTGTCCTCAACAGAGTGCCCCCTTCCATCAATTGTCCTCAACAGAGTGCCCCCTTCCATCAATTGTCCTCAACAGAGTGCCCCCTTCCATCAATTGTCCTCAACAGAGTGCCCCCTTCCATCAATTGTCCTCAACAGAGTGCCCCCTTCCATCAATTGTCCTCAACAGAGTGCCCCCTTCCATCAGCTGCCCTCAACAGAGTGCCCCCTTCCATCAGCTGCCCTCAACAGAGTGCCCCCTTCCATCAGCTGCCCTCAACAGAGTGCCCCCTTCCATCAGTTGCCCTCAACAGAGTGCCCCCTTCCATCAGTTGCCCTCAACAGAGTGCCCCCTTACATCAGTTGCCCTCAACAGAGTGCCCCCTTCCATCAGCTGCCCTCAACAGAGTGCCCCCCTTACATCAGTTGCCCTCAACAGAGTGCCCCCTTACATCAGCTGCCCTCAACAGAGTGCCCCCCTTACATCAGTTGCCCTCAACAGAGTGCCCCTTTACATCAATTGTCCTCAACAGAGTGCCCCCTTACATAAATTGTCCTCAACAGATTTTCCCTTTAGTATGACCAGTATACCCCATCATGACCAGATGCCCCCATCAGAGTGCCCCCTTACATTAACTGTCTTTAACAGAGTGCCCCCTTCCATCAATTGTCCTCAACAGAGTGCCCCCTTCCATCAATTGTCCTCAACAGAGTGCCCCCTTCCATCACCTCAACAGAGTGCCCCCTTCCATCAATTGTCCTCAACAGAGTGCCCCCTTCCATCAATTGTCCTCAACAGAGTGCCCCCTTCCATCAATTGTCCTCAACAAGAGTGCCCCCTTCCATCAATTGTCCTCAACAGAGTGCCCCCTTCCATCAATTGTCCTCAACAGAGTGCCCCCTTCCATCAATTGTCCTCAACAGAGTGCCCCCTTCCATCAATTGTCCTCAACAGAGTGCCCCCTCAACCTCAACAGAGTGCCCCCTTCCATCAGTTGCCCTCAACAGAGTGCCCCCTCCATCAATTGCCCTCAACAGAGTGCCCCCTTCCATCAGTTGCCCTCAACAGAGTGCCCCCTTCCATCAGTTGCCCTCAACAGAGTGCCCCCTTCCATCAGATGCCCTCAACAGAGTGCCCCCTTCCATCAGATGCCCTCAACAGAGTGCCCCTTCCATCAGCTGCCCTCATCAGAGTGCCCCCTTCCATCAGCTGCCCTCAACAGAGTGCCCCCTTCCATCAGCTGCCCTCAACAGAGTGCCCCCTTCCATCAGCTGCCCTCAACAGAGTGCCCCCTTCCATCAGTTGCCCTCAACAGAGTGCCCCCTTACATCAGTTGCCCTCAACAGAGTGCCCCCTTCCATCAGCTGCCCTCAACAGAGTGCCCCCTTACATCAGTTGCCCTCAACAGAGTGCCCCCTTACATCAGTTGCCCTCAACAGAGTGCCCCCCTTACATCGGTTGCCCTCAACAGAGTGCCCCTTTACATCAATTCAATTGTCCTCAACAGAGTGCCCCTTACATAAATGTCCTCAACAGATTTTCCCTTTACATCAATTGTCCTCAACAGAGTGCCCCCTTCCATCAATTGTCCTCAACAGAGTGCCCCCTTCCATCAGTTGTCCTCAACAGAGTGCCCCCTTCCATCAGTTGCCCTCAACAGAGTGCCCCCTTCCATCAGTTGCCCTCAACAGAGTGCCCCCTTCCATCAGTTGCCCTCAACAGAGTGCCCCCTTCCATCTGTTGCCCTCAACAGAGTGCCCCCTCACAGCAATTGCCCTCAGCAGAGTGCCCCCTTCCATCAGTTGCTCTCAACAGAGTGCCCCCTTCCATCAATTGTCCTCAACAGAGTGCCCCCTTCCATCAATTGCCCTCAAGAGAGTGCCCCCTTCCATCAGTTGCCCTCAACAGAGTGCCCCCTTACATCAGTTGCCCTCAACAGAGTGCCCCCTTACATAAATTGTCCTCAACAGATTTTCCCTTTACATCAATTGTCCTCAACAGAGTGCCCCCTTCCATCAGTTGTCCTCAACAGAGTGCCCCCTTCCA